GGAGCGCCGCCGCGCTTCCCAAGCGGTGCACTATCCAGTGCGCCACCGGGCCGGCCCCAGTCTTTAATTTTTAATGACAATTTTAATTTTTAAGGTATGCAAGCTTATCAGAGTGGCATAATTGGCATAATTACAGGAGCTGAAAGGTATCTGTGGTTTTGCAATGTAATGTCTGCATAATCTCATTTAACTTGTTACTGAAGTTATACAGCCCTCCCGTGTATGAGATGATTAAACTCTCAGCCGTCATGAAAAATGCTGGTGGTAGATTACACTGTTCTAAATCGAATAATTCACCTTATTTACTGGTTGCCTAGAAAGTTATGTTTTGTGTGTTTAAACAATGCTGTAATAGTCTGCTAGGGAAATAGAGCAGTGAGTGTTAACGGAGCAGTGAAAAGGCCAGTTCAATTTTTTAGCTTATTCAACTTTTTTAAAGGGTTTTTTTATATTCGGTTTAAAAAAGTGCAAAATGAGAATCTCTTCTTAAGCACTGAAAACAAGTGTTTCCTCCTCAGAGGGTGATGCCTTTAGCGCTGCAGGATTTTGTTCATGCTTTCTGTTTTCCTCCCCTCGCCACCCATTCCTTCTGCAAAGTGAATAGTGTTTCTTAAAAATTACATTTCAAGGTAAAGACTAAAGCAGGCACAGATGACGGTGAGAAGAGACGTGAACTTAGCCTGTGAATCCAGCTCTGCCTGCGCGGTCCTTCTGGCATGCGAGTGTCCCCCCCCCTCGAAGTGGCATGCGAGTGTCCCTGGGTGCCAGGGCTAGGGGAGTCATGGTGCTTAGTCAGGGAAAAGCAAGAATGAAGGTGCCTGCTCCTGAGAGTCCGACGGCCCCAGTAGGGCTTCTGGAAACTTCTTGCTCTGGTGGCTTCATTACTGTAATAACAAGACCCTGTGGCATAGACCGGGGGCAAATCATTTTACATCTGGGCCTTCCTGTCCCTTGGATTTAACTGCAAAGATTGCTCTTGCTGTTTCCTAGGGTTTGTTCCAGCTCTCAGAGTAACTCATAATGTGAAACGCTGATGCTTATGGAGGGCTTCCTGTTCTCTGACTCTTTGTCACAACTCTGTCTCAAGATACTTATTACTAACCTGTTTTAAAGATGAGGCTTCTGAGGCTTGGGGAGGTGAACTAACTAGTTGTAAATGTCCTGCAGCTAGTGAGGGTGAAACTGGGGTTTGAGTAGGCATCTGACTCCCAGGCCAGCCTCTTCCCATCCTGTTAACTAGCTCTCTTCTGCTGAGTTTGCTGTATGTTTCTGATCCAAGAAAGGCCGTTGTGCTACAGGCATGCTATGTATGCAAAGTGAACATAAGCTAGTGCCTAAGTCATGGTTCCAAAAGGAGGAGGAAGTGTTCTACTTTTTTAAAAATAAAGATTAATTACATAGTGTTTGTCAGGTTATGTGATTTCCTGCTGAGAAAAAGAAAGCTTTATTTGAGTTAGTTTTTTTCTGTCCTTTGTAGAGCTAAAGACTCAGCATCCATTTCCATACTTTGGTCTATTTTATTAATGAAAAAATAAATGCGCATAATTTGTTCAGAAATTGACTTAATTACAGCAAACTGAAACCAGCCATTTTTAGCCAGGAATAATCTTGCCTGTGAGGAGACTATTATGCAGATGGAAGTAGACTAAAATAGCTATTAATGTCTTTAACACACTTTAAAAATTTCATCAGTTTTAACAGAGATGAGAAAAATCACATTCAGCCTCATCTCCCCAGTGCAGGAGGAGGTTGTGTTTCCCCAGAATGTCCCTCTCGGTTCATGTGTGGGGGTCAGGGTGCCTCTTCACTGTGCGCCCTTCCTGCAGGGTAGAGCTTCCCCCAGCCCTGCATGGAGTGGTCCAGCTGTGGGTGGAGCTGGGGATCACTTCTCGCTGCCTGCAGTTTAGTCTGTCCCTGTAAGCCCACGGCGCAGCCTGCAGCTCTCTGGTCATTTTCATTACTGCCTGATGCACTGCTTTTTCCTGCTACTTTCCCCTTCCAACTCAGCAAAACTTGGTCCAAAGAGACAAAATTTTGTTAGAAACCTACTCAGTGCTTTTGACCAATTTGAAGAGCACCTATCAGGAAGCGCAGGCCCTCGTGAGCCTTTGGGTTAGGAAGAGACATGGAGAAGCCTGTGGGCTGATTATGTCAGACTCTCTCTCCTCTCCTTTTTTCTCCTGACTTACTCCTTAAGCAGTTGGAGATGATGCATCCTACCCAGCTGACATCTGTGACTTCAGTGTACTAGAACCGTATGCGTGTACAAAGAACATCTGCATTTTGGCGATGTACGAAGTTTGGTGTCTATCCTCTGAGTCTGAGTGACAGAAATGGTGGAATGTCTGATGCCCTCACCTGTATTTGTTGTTTTATTTATGTAAATGC